GTCCCAAGCCAGCTCTTAACCAACGCACCACTCGGCCAGCCCTAAGGGTGCTATTTTTAAAACAACCTTATCTGGCTCATTTTTGCATTGATTACAAAACTTTTTAAGAACACTATTTACTAAATGGGTCCTATAGAAATTCCACTGTTTTCCTTGAAAAATTAGTATAGTTCTGTCCCCCTTTAGTAAGTGACTGGCTGAGTCTTTTTTGCCCTATTCTGCTATTTTTACTTGTTATTATCTTTTACTCATTAGTTATGAATTTCTGTTGTTAAGTAGCTCAAATGCTTAGTGGAAAAAAATACTGTATGCATAGATGCTTTTTTTATGATCTCGACAGCAATTCAGCACAAGATACTTTGACTAAATAACAGACTACCCACAAACCTGAAGCATTTTCTTTCTGACATGCCAGTTTACACGGCAGTGTGTCCAAGGTTAAGTGGTAACAAGGAACACTTACTCCCCACCGTCCTCACACTTCCATGTGGAAGAACTTATTAGGAGGAAAGCATTCAACCTCACTCTACCTCCCAATACTCTCCCCATGGGGAGAAGAGCCAATTATCTGATTGGTGAGTTTGGGAGAAGAAATGGCACACTCAGCTCAGCCCCGTCCTCCAAGGCAGGCAGCCCTCCTCCCCCACTGCCCACAAGGGTGCTTCTTTGCGCCTCCATATTATTGGTTCTACTTGGACAGGTATCCATAGGTGAGGCTTGAGATTTTTCACCTCTGCCAGTGACTGGATGTGTAAGTTTATTTTGGCGGCGTAGCCTACGGAAGACTGTTTGGCTGCCGACCCAAGTCGCAACAATCCATTACATTTCATCAGCAATAAAGCCAACCTCTTTGATCTCCGTTCATTGGAATCCAGCTCTCTCTTTCAATTGGTTCTGATCTGGGTAGGGAAGAGATGATGCTATTCATGGATCCCCTAGAACCCCAACAGTGAGTGAACACAACACTGAATTCACTGGACCTTGTATCTAGAAAGTCAAATAACAACAGTAGTTACCACCACACTTACAGCACAAATGTGAAAAATGATGTATTTCACGTTGGAAACTTAACATAGTTGTGAGGCCAATCCTTATTTTTCAATGCCACAATTTAAATTGGTCCTCGATGCCATTGGGTTTGGGTTCTCCTTCTGAAGTGTTATCTGACTGTGCCTTTCAGAAGCAGAATTTTAATACGTGTAACAGACCTCAGTTCATCAAGGAAAAGAAAACTACATATCGATAATATTTGTTATTGAAAGAGAAAATGATAAACGGTGTTTCTTATTTCCTTTCTGTCAGCTCGTAGAAGTCTACTCCGAATCACATTCACGTGTATCTGTTTCCTGAGAAAGAGCTGGAATATAATGCAACAGCTGAACACACGGCAACCCCTCATCCGCTCCATCTTTAGAGGGCTTTTTGCCAAGAAAATGGGTTTAGGATTTGGTTTTGGTGTTTACTTTTGTAGAAAGCACAAAATGTACAATTGAGCATTTTAGAATACAATTAATTAGCAAGTTATTATAATAATCATACATGCTGAGGTTAGTAAAAGAAAAACTCCAACTTCAGATATGCTAACTTGCACTCAAAATGATCATGTAGGACCTGTTCCTTAAGGTTTGTTATGTAATAAACAAAAAATAAAATATGGCTCACATATTCACATCCATGCCATTTTAATCCTCCATACCCACAAGCGTTGTTATAATCATACATTGGGATTATCTGGTGCCATCAGAGGCATGTTCTGTGGAGTTAGAGGTAAGCCACCACAGCTTTTTACCATTAAGGCACATCCATCTTGTCATGTTCTACTCAGCAACAGATATACATCAGTGTGACTCAGGTTCCCATGGAAGTAAAGTCATATCTTAGCAAACTGCTGTTCTAACTCCCCTCACACACACACACACACACACACCCCAAATACCACAAGTACATGGGTTTAGAAAACTGAGCTCCTTTGAAAGTCTGATGGGCAAAAATGGCTCCTTTCTGTCACCACTCCAAATTCTCACCCATATCACCTTTCCCCTCACTTTTCTGAGCCAAACCTTACATCACACATGTCATTCTTATGAGAGTCTAAAATCATGATTTTTAACTTCTGCTGGCACCCCAAGAGCAAACCTCTTAGCATCAAGATAAATTACACTGTAGCACATTGACATTAGCATGAACCATTGCTATTTTAATGTAAACTGAAAGAGGAGGCTCAAAAAAGAAATAGCCTATCGACTGCTCTGCAAATAGTGGCTATAGAATTCTTCATTCTAAAAAGCCAAGGAAATTTGCCATAAGCAAATATTAACAGTATACAATATCAGTAGATGAAAATGTGCAAATAATAATAACACCACATATACACTACTTCAAATTTCATTAAAGCCAGTTCTTTTTTTTTAATCAAAATTAAATTGGACTTCTAGTTCTAATGCCAATTTATCATATGGAGTGTTGACATGAAATGTTTTCATGAATCCAGGTTAATGACTTGTAACTAGACAAACCTTCTCTCTTAAAATAACATCACAGAATATTTTTTAAGTAGCTGATCTTTACTTGCTGCATTCTAAAAGGCAAACCCTAAAAGGTAAAAAACTGAAAGTAATATATCAAATAACTCAAACTCCTGGTTAAGAAAAGTATCATTGCTAGTAAGATAGTAAAGGCTACCTACTCTAACAGTTTTGTTGAGAAAATTCATTTCTTTCTATGGCAAACTGTACTTACTTAACAGGCGTGAGAGAAAAGGAAAAAAGAGAAATCAGGGCCAAAACGAGAATTCATAGTGATTAAATCTGTCTGAATCACAATAAAGTTGTAACATATAAAATCAAATACAAAACAATCATAGCATTTCAACTAGTTTTAAAATAACACACATACATAAAATGTTGGTTTCTATAATGTATCCCTGATGTTGCAAGATGAGCAATAAAAAACAATTTTCTCAAGAATTTCAATGAAGAAAAACTATTAAACAATAATACCACAAGTCTCAAAAATATCAAGGAAATATAATCCAGAAAGAGTGAATCCAAACATTAAAATCATTATTTGAGGAATGGTCTCTACAATGCATCCACTGAATTCAAAGAATCAGAAAAAGTATAATTTCACTTCATTTACCAACTTTCTTAAAGCACATCCCAGCAAGTCTTTACTTAAGATTCTTTACATTCTTTTGTCACATCTTCAGTCTCCTGTTCATCTGCACATTAAAAACAATAACCAAAGTTGTTAGGCAATCCAAAATGTGTACATAATTAAGAAAAATCATTCAGCCTATAAGACATTAAATCCTTTTACACATGAAACAATAATCACATTCTTATTTAATATTTACTGAACAGTCACCATAAACTACATACAAAGTTTACAAGAAAAAGCTAAAGATAAGCCTGCTTTCATTGAGTTTACAGATGAGGGAGAACTTCTGGGGTTTTGAGAGCTAAAATGATTATGGATTTGGAGACAGGCATCATTTTTTGGGAGGAGGGGGGCTTTGAACTAAGTTTCTAGAAAGTAGGGTGAAACCGAAAGTAAATATTATACTTAGAGTAGATAAGAACTGATCATCTTTCATTTCTTCAATGTGAGAAAAAAACGATGACACTAACAGAAATAGAATGGAAATATTCTTCTATCAACCTCAGTGAGAAGATTATTAGAAAAGGCAAAATTGACAACAGAACCAAACAAAAGAAGACAATAAAAAAGAATCAGGAGAAACTGGAACCCTCATACACTGCTGGTGGGGATCTAAAATGGTGCAGCTGCTGTGGAAAACAGTCTGGCAGTTCCTCTAAAGGTTACCATAAACCCAGCAATTCTACTCCTGGGAATATGCCCAAGAGAAATGAAAACGTACATCCACCCAAAAACCTGTTCATCAGTATTCACAGCAGCATTACATATAATAGCCAAAAAGTATTAACAACCCAAATGTATATCAACTAATGAATGGATAAATAAAATGTGACATATCCCACCACAGAATATTATTCAACAATAAAAAAGAATGGAGTACCGATACATGCTACAACATGGGTGAATCCTGAAAACATTGTTAAGTGTAAGCAGCCAGACACAACAGGCCACATACTTTATGATTCCATTTATATGAAATGTCCAGACCAGGCAAATTCATAGAGACAAAAAGCAGATTAGTGATTGCTTAGGTCTAGGAGGTTGGGGGAAATGGGGAGTCACTGCTAATGAGTCCAGTGTGTGTTTTGGGAGTCAAGAAAATGTAAAATTGGTAGTTGTGAAGAACACACAATTCTGTGAATATACTAAAAATCACTGAATTGTATAGCACTGTTGAACGGTGGTCTGAGAAAAGCTCTGTCCATATCCTAAACTCTGGAACCTGTGACAGTTACCTTACTTGGAAAAAAAGGGTCTTTGCCGATGTACTTAAGCTACGGCTCTTGAGAAGATCAGGCTGGATTATTCAGGTGAGCCCTATATTCAATAACAAATGCCCTTATAGGACAGAAACAGAGGGAGATTTGAGACCACACAGAGAAAAGGGCAATGTGAAAAGAGAGACAGAGATTGTAGTGATGTGACCGCAAAGCAAGGAAACCAAAGAATGTCAACAGCCTGAGAAACTGGAAGAAGGAAGTACCGTATTTGCCGGCGTATAAGACGATTTTTTGGCC